AACTCCGAGTTTGTCTTTTTCACTTCTTCGATTTGACTTTCGAGGGTGTCCAGAAGAGTTGCTTGCTCAGCCTTGAGAACAACCAGTTGTTCCTCTAGTTTTTGGATTTCAGCGGTCACCACTCCAATTCTTTCTTTTGTTAATGAGCCATCATTCATCAACTTGTCTACCTGAGCAGATGTACTGGATTCCTTCTCCTGGAAACATCTTACACGATTGGCTTGTCTTTCTGCTCTCTTATGTTGGTCCCGAAGAGCCTTCAGATTTTCAAAGAAAGAGAGGAATGAATCATGTTGAGTTTTTGACAGTTGGCCAACTTTGAAAAGCTCACTCGTAACCCTTTCCAGATCATAAAGGGCCTTAAGGCTAAATGAAGCAGAGAAGTCATTCCTTGCCCATTCTTGGAAAACTCGCTTCTGCTCTGGAAAACCTGAAGGTGAAGAATTCTTTGAGGATTTTAGCCTTGTCTCGAGCTGCCCGAATTTTTCAAACAGTTCGGGCAACTTAGCAGTTCTTGAAGCTAGAGAAGCAGATGGGGGACTTCGCACTCCAGTTTCCTCTAATGAAGTAGCGCCTACTGATGGGGCAGTTTTTAGCTCTCCGACCTTCTCCATTCCAGGATGAACAATCCCAGCACTCCCAATAGTCAAATGAGGTCGGGGGAGCTTTGGTTTACGAACCAAGTGAGGAGGAGAAGTTTCTTCAGGAACTTGCTGCAAAGACCAAAAGAAGATCAGATTGTTAAATAGACAATTTGAAATGAAGGAAAGTTTGGGAAGGAAGAAATATACCTGACTAAGCTTTGGAGTCTCACAAGGAAGAGTACCAATCCCTGGTTGAGGAAGAGACTCCCTACCACTGACGGGGGAAGAAGAAACTGCACCTGAACCTTCACCAATACCCTGGAAGTGTCCAGGAATGGCAGCAATGGTTAGTAAGCAGATGGTAAAAGAATAGCAGGAAGGAAATATCTCCTTACCAGAGTTCGACCCTGAGGAGATGAAGGAAGTTCATCAAGAGTAACTGTCGGGCAGGCAATCACCTGCAAAGTAGTTGCTTCTGAAGTTACAGGAATCTCAGGAACTATGGGTTCGTCACTTGTTCTTGTTGCCACTGATGGATTTTGTATTGAAGAAGGTTGGGGAATACTCTGTGGGCATACAGGACTTCCAATAGGACAGGTACAGGGACAACTCCTTATGCTTTAACCTTCGGGCAAGATGCAGTGCTTCCTATGAAGATCAATGTGAGTTCTGTCAGAATTCAAAATCAGTTTGGATTACACAGCGAAGAATACATCGAAGCCATGTGTCAAGGGATTGAAGACTTAGATGTAGCCCGAATTGAAGCTCTGAACCAGATTCAGGAAGGAAAGAGGGCTGTTGCCCAAGCATATAACAAAAGGGTGAAAGTAAAATCTTATAAGGAAGGAGATTTGGTGTGGAAGACAGTTCTTCCTCTTGGAGCTCAGCTTAGGGGCTTTGGAAAGTAGAGCCCGACGTGGGAAGATCCTTTCATAGTTAGTCAAGTATTAGACAAAGGGGGGTACTACTTGGCGGACCTCGAAGGGAATTGGCAGAAACATCCTATTAATGTTAAATTCTTGAAAAAATATTGTCTGACATTATGGGATGTTAGAGATTGTTACATTGAGGAGGATGCAAGGCAAAGCAGACTTCGGGGTATCAAGGTGCAGTGTATGATCACCAACCATTCAAAAGAAGACAGAAAAAACAAAAAGTTGCTAAGTTAATGTTTATTTCATTTCGACAAATTGGCGATATTTACAAACTAATCCAAGTCCAAAGTACTACATTCGATTCCTTCTACAATGTTATTTTCAGCTGGTTTTCCGATGTCTCCCTGGATAAGACCCGATCATGTGATCGGGTTGTGCGACCAAAACGCGCCTGGTAGGGGATCCTCAGGCAGAGTTACCACCACGTGTGATGGTGAAGCTTAATTTATCACGATGGCAAGCAGGAAGGCAAGCATTCGTGAGGAAACCGCCTGACCAAGGGTGTTGGAGATAGCGGGGTGTTTGACCAAAGGTGTTGGAGATAGTAGTTATCTAATGAGAACTCTTTTTCTCACGAAAAGGGAGTTTTAAGAAACCCCACCTAAACTCTGAAGAACTCATTTCACAGTTTTGGAAGAAAACTAAGGAAGCAGAAACACCTGGGGTGGATAAAAGATGAGATCGAGGATGATTTGTGGGGATAATCAGAATTTATAGGAATGTCGGAAGGTAGTTCAAGGGTCATGGGAAGATCGAGAGACTCCGGGTGGCGTTAATCTCCACCAGAAGCTACAAGTTCCAAGAGCAAGGGTGCAGACGCATGCAGCTTTTCAATTAATATTGGCGCCTGAAATTCCAGGCTAAATATCAATTAAAGGGGGCACTGTTTGGATCAAAGCTTAAACTTTGGGCTCGGGGGAAGTTGGCCCAAAGAGCAGCCTAAAAGGAAGAAGCCCAGTCAAGGCCAGCCGAAGTCCAGAAGACAGGAGAAACCCGTTTCTGACTAGGTGCAGGCCATGCAGACTACTTGCTCACCTACCCAATGGCCAAGTGGTATAGACCAGCCAGCTAATCAGCCCAAAAAGTACTTTTTAATGGCAGTACAAGTAAATAGCTGATGAGTCACTATCCTTCAAACTACATTTGGGCAAGATTATTGCTACAGGAGGCCAAACCAAGTTGTCTATAAAAGGAGAAGGAGAAGTCAGAATCAAGGACACTCAAACAAACAAACAAAAGCACAAACTCTGCTCAAAAGCCATATTTGCCTTCAAAACGAAGCTGTAGTCAGCCCAAGCCTTCATCCATTTCGGGATAAACCCTTTGTAATAGCTCTGCTACCCTGCTCAAAGCCTGTTGTAGTATCGATTTTCTTTCTGCAAACTCATTTCCCAACCCCTTTTCTAAAGCCTTCAAACCTTCTGTTAACCTACAAAGATAGGAAGTTGTAAGACGATCAGCCTTACCCGACAAGGTTAAACCTTGCCCGACCTGTTTTGTTTTTGTCTTTTTCATTCATTAGCCTAGCAATGTGTTGTATACTTCAAGTTGTACCCAAGTTATTTCTAGTAATATGAATTTTAAAATACCCTCTCAGCGCTTGAATCCGATTTGAATATGTCTTCATAGTTCAAATCAGATCTAAGTTCTAAGCCTTCAGGCATATAAGATTTGATCACCTTAAAAAGTCCTTGGCCTCAAGGCATAAAAAAGAACCTGATGTGGACTTAACCCATCCACTACAAGCTTTGATAATGAGAAGTCCGAAGTTACTTGGGGCGCAAGTAATCGACCTGCTACTTGGTTTTATTTCTGTTATATTATGATGACCGTATAACGTTCGAGTACGGGATGAATTCTGATGGGAAGCCTCAAGGCCTATTCAAGGCCCCACAAAGGCACCTATTTGGATTCATCCTATTTCTCGGGCAAGAACATTGAGTATAGGAGGGGTTTTGATGGGAAGCCTCAATGCCTATTCAAGGCCCCACAAAGGCACCTATTTGGATCCATTCTGCTCTTTGAGTTCAGGTAATCAGAAGTATAATGGTTATAAGAACCATATAACTCACAAAAGGAACCTTATGTGTTTGAGTACTAAGTTAGTTATTTATGGGAAGCCTCAAGGCCTACATCTAAGGCCCCACAAAGGCACCTGTCAATAACTAACATAGTTTCTCGAATATATATGATTAAAACTCAAAACATCCGTTCTACATCTACCATGCTAAAGATGGTAGTGGCACGCCTGAGCAATTCCAAGTTAATCTTGATCGTGAGCCTCAAGGCCTACATTCAAGGCCCCATAAAGGCACCTTTCAAAGTTAACTATGTCCTTCTCTTTCAGCCTTGCCCGACAAGCCCGCCAATAAAGCAGGAGCCCAACAGAAAGCATCAACCGGCGCCAACCTCTCAGGGAGCTGTGTGCTCGTCGGCCAGGAAGCATTCCCCATGGAAATTCCCGTCACGAACAAACATAAATCTAATTGTTTGGGAAGAGTGAAATTGGAATATTAGTATCTATCATCCTAAAAAGTATGACGAAAACAAGGGAATAAAAAACCCAGATAAATGAAACCAGAACTTCATCAAATTTACCAATCAAAAGAAACTTAATCTCTTTCAATTGATTTACTCGGTCTTTGTTGGTTTGCAAGGTTATGCACTTAATTCAATTCCTCCAACAATATCATGGTAATGGTTGGACTCGTAAACAATTCCATATACTTCACTGAAAAACTAATCCAAGGTTAACGAAAATTAAGACAAGAACTCATCTAAAAGTATGAAACAAAATTTTCTTATTGGAACAAACAGATTGTCATGATTGTATAGTTATGCTCTTCACCACAAAATGTCGCAAGTTCTCAACTGAAACAAATAGGTTTTCCTGTTTGTTGGCTTCCGTTCTTGGTCTGAGGTTACTGAAAATTAAGAGAATATCACATCTACAAGGTAAATTGACATTAGGCTTGTGGTTTTTAATTGCATGTCTCGTTTGTGTCTCTTTACTAATTTCTTGACGTTTGTTTCTTCACTTATTCAAAGTTAATTATTGGTTTATTTTATGTTTTAATTTTTAATTAATTTTATGAACTTACTTTGGAATAAGTGGAGGGATAAGTGTCAAGAAAAGAGACACAAATGAGACATGTAATTAGGGAGAGATTTTTCAGTATGACCGGTACATGGAGTGATAAACCATATATCACTAATATATACTATATATTTAATAGTGTATTGGAAAAATGAAAGCAAGCATTCATTTGAAATATCATCTCTAAATGCATGCATTTGGTACATAGATAGCTAACTGAACTGATAAGGATAAGGGACGGATTGAAGTGCCCGATCCTTATTCAACACGTACTGAAGAATTTGACATGCGTGGCAGCCCAAGGCTCTCCCTCGTGTCAGCAGACATAGAGACAATGTTGGGTTGGATAACGCAAACCTGAAACAGTTCGACGTGTGAGCTGCTGGGTAGCATGGCAATCTGACTCTCAAGAACAAACGTGTCAAGAAGCCACCACGTGGCACTTTCCCACCCAAGAGATGTCGCCCTCCATGCAGGGCCGACGTCGGTACCCACCTCCTCAGCACCGCCATGGCTTCCTGTTTTTAACCTCAATCCGGCCCAACATCACTCTCCACTTCTGAAACGCCAATCAAATCTTTCTAGCGAAAAAAAAAAAGAACCCGAAACCCAAAATTTCTGTATTGAATATAACCTGATCGATCGTGTTATTGCATCGAATTCATATTGTGTGTATACATATCAAACAGCTAGCGCTTTGGTTTGAATCAAGAAAGAAGGAAAGGAAGGAAATGGCTTCCGAGCAGCAGCAAAGAAGGGAAAACACAAAGCCGGAGAGGGAGGTGCACATAGAGAAAGAAAAGGTGCCCAAAATGACTACTCACTTTGAGGCTATGACGGTGCATGTTACTGATACGAGTGCTGGCAGAAAAGACACTCCTCTCGACAGCGGCAGCAAGCAGTCATCGAAGGACGAAGGCGATAAAGCAGCCTCGATGAGGAGAGGGAATACGGTGGGCGATGTGGAAATGGAGAAAGCAAGAGAGACTCATGAGATCGGGTCTCATAAGCTCGAGTCTCTTAAAGATACTCTGGCGTCGGCGAGGGAGGACAGACAGAGAGAATCGCAGGCAGACAAGGCGAGGGCAGAAAACATGGTGGCAGATAAAGAAGCTGAGTCTAAGAAAGAGAGCCGCCAACAAGGTGGACCTGGAATTCCTCAGTCTGAACAGAGCCATGAAGCTAAAAGTCAAGCCGGAGGTCAAGCTCATGGTCAACGTCAAGGTAGTGGCCCTCAGTTTGAACAGGGCCATGAAACTAAAAGCCATGGCGGAGTTCAAGGTGTAGCTCATTCATTTGAACAGCGCCATGAAGGTAAAGGTCAAGGTGGAGGTCAAGGTCAACGTCAAGGTGGAACTCGTCAATCTGTTGGGAAGGTTGAAGAGCGCCATGAAGCTCAAGGTCGCCAAACTACTGGGAAGGTTGAAGGGCTTCAAGGAGGTCAAGGACAAGCCCATGGTGGACGGCAAGGCCAATCTTTTGGGAAGGTTCAAGAGCGTCAAGGAGCCCATGGTGGAGGTCAACAACAACGAGAAGGCAGTGGTGGTGATCGCGGTCATCAGACGGTTGGAAAGTTTGAAGTGAGTGGTGAAGAAGAGCAGGGTCGGACTGATAAAGGCCGAGAAAGTAGTGAAGCTGATAAAGAATGTAGACGCACACAAATACACGAGGGTGTGGAGAAAATGACTCTTACCGGGGAAGACAAGAAGCTGCAGCTGGGCCAAGAGGAGGAGCAGCAAGGTTCTAAAGGAAGACGAGGCTCCGAGTCTGAGATGAAAAGCACACACGAGAGAAGCACTACTGAAGAGGAGACTAAGATAATCAAAGAAGAAGAGGGTCGACGTCAAGGAACCAAACAACAACAACCATCTTTGGAAGAAATCTCACAGCTGAGAGGAACAGCTCAGCAAAATTCTATGGAGGCGATGAGGGCTGCAGAGGAGCGTTACGCCAAGGCTAAAGAGTCGGCCAGGCAAGGGCTTGGCAGCGCAACCGAGTATGCCTCGGAGACAGCTGGACAAGCCAAAGACACTCTCCTCCAAGGAGCACAAACTGCCAAAGAGACTCTCACTAGTGCAGGTAAGACCGCCATCGAAAAAACAGCTCCACTAGCGGAGAGAGCCAAAGACGTTGCTGTCTCCGCCGGTCAGACCACTCTGCATTACGTGGAAGAAGGGGCTGTGAAGGCCAAGGACAAGACTTTGGAGGGCGGGAAGACTTCGGCGGCGTATGCAGGTGATGTGGCGGTGGAATTGAAGGACAAGGGGACTGTAGCCGGTTGGACGGCAGCGCATTACACCACAGAGGCTGCAGTGGAGGGGACTAAAAAGGCAGCGAAGGTTGTGATAGGGGCAGCTGAATATGCTGGGCATAAAGCAGTGGATATTGTTTCGAAGCCTTTGAGTGTGGTTAAAGATGCCGCTGCGGTGGCTGGGGAGAAGGCTGAGGAGTATACCGCGAGGAAGAAGGAGGAGGCGCAGAGAGTACTGGAGGCCAAGAGATCAGCTGAAGAGCAAAATAAGCAGCAGGTATATATTTGTCAAGAGTGCTATTTAATTACATACCGCTCACAGATTTGCTAAATTGATTCAAGTGTTAAAAAAAAATTATTAATTAAATTACAAACAATTTTTACTGGCCTTCATTACCAATCAAGCGAGAGATGAGTTGTTTGAATGTTTTATTTTACTTGAAACAGTCTCTCCAAGGAGGAGAAAGAGAAGGATCCGAATGGGAGCAAGGCACGACATGGAACAAGCAAGCTCATGAGAATGTTAGCGTTGGGATTCGAGGAGAGGGTGACCGATCATCCGAAAAAACTCAGGTACGGTTCCTCTTCCAATTACATGAACATGACTGTATATACATCTAATATATATTATCGATGCGAGGAATCAAATAATTAAAATTTGAGCTAGAAATATTAGTTTATTAAGCTGGTATTTGAGAGGAGAGTTTAATGGGTTGATTGTACTTGAATGATAATCAGGGTTATCAAGGTGGACAGGAATCCCAGAATCGATCTCAGGGCCTCATGCGAGGGGCAGACATGAGTCGGGATCAGTGCAGGGATGAGAGTTGGATGAAATCGCGGAGCGGTGGCGCTGGGGCAGGAAGCAACGAGGAGTACATGATGAGCATGGACAGCTCTCAAGTGGGAGAGGCTGGTGAGGGAGTGCTGGGAGCAGTCACGGAGACTTTACTGGAGATTGGTCAGACAACAAAAGACATGCTGATCGGCGGGCAGCACGGAATGGAGGAGGAGGAACTGAGTGCTGGCCAAGAACAGCAGTGGAAGTCGTCGACGGATGAACGGAGCAAGCAAGGGATGACCAAGAGGAATTGAGGATAGCAAAGCAAGCAAGGGGTGACCGAGTATGAAACTATATTCTGCACGACTACTTCTACTCTCAGTTTTGGGTTCCACTTTTCGGTTTAGATATTTTGCGAGTGCATAAAAGGGAGATACAATATAGATATATATGTACGAGTTATATTTCGTGTTAATAATTTGGGTTTGGTTGATGTTTTTGGTGAATAATTTTGAGTGTTTATGTATTAAAAACCACCTTCCTTGGAATCGTGACGATTTGTTGTTGTTGTTGTTGTTTTTTTATTTATTTATTTATTATTATTTTTTTTATATATTTTTAAATTTCTTTATTGAAATAGGGCAAAAGCCCACACAGAGAAATACGTAAGAGGGTAGGGCCCAAATGAACGAGCGAAGTGTGTCCAACAAATACAAGCGAAGGCTGTGAAACAACCATTGAAGTAATTATCCGTAGCATCGCCCTTGCAGCCCGACACACCAAATGAGAAAGCATAAGGGAAGCCACGGTTTAAGATGCATTTTATAGACGAATATCAGAAGACATGAAAGTGAGTTGCATCGCGACTTTCTCGAGTGTTTCAAGAATATTTCAACCATTTTTCTATAAAAATACAAAAGAAGTATCGAATCTTATAAACCCTTATCCTTTATACAAGGGAATCTTATAAACCGTTATCCTTTATACAAAGGGAATTGTTATTGGCACTCAAAATTTCTCATCCTACACTCCAAATTTTCTATATTTAGAAAGAAAAATACACTTGTGAGGAGTGTAGAATGAGATTTTTGGAGTGCTAATAACACTGCTCTATACAAAACATAGAAATAAAATACTCGGACTACATGTACTCTTGGTACCGTTTGGTACGTGGGACATGATGGAACGGAGTGGAACGAGACGTTCCGTCCCACGTTTGGTGCCCTTAAAACGGGTGGAACTCGCTGTTCCACGGGACAAGTTTTGGGTGAATCTTCGTTCCACCTCATCCCCCTAGAACGACTCGTTCCACATCTGTGGAACACAAAATTATAACCTCTTCGTCTCCTTCTTCTTCCTCCTTGTTTCTATCCGAGGGCATCTTTGCTCCCTCTCTGTTCCGTCCCGTCCTGTCCCATCCTATCCCGTCCCATTCCGTTTCGTCCATTCCTATCTGCATACCAAACGATACCTTAAGGAACGTGTTATGATATAGAGTGAGGAACGTGTTACAACACTGATATATCAACCTAACCTAATTTCAATACGTTCTTGATAATAGAAATGAAGAGTTGCAGAGAATGAACCAATGTTGCAGATAAAGCAGGAAAGAAGAACAATTCTTAGAGAGAGAGAAGAGAATTCTCAATTATATTTTATGTATTGTATTTCCATCATTTGTTTAGAGCTATTGCATTTGCTTATATAGCCACACACATCTTACACTCTAAGCAATATGTTTTTAACAGAACCAACTACCTAACAACCTTTCTGTTAACCGTTTTAACGTCTACTAACAGTACTAACTACTACTAACAGTTTTCCTATTAGCCTACATCATTCATCATCCCCCCTCAATCTCAACTGGGTTTCCCAGCTTGAGATTGAAGCAATGCTTAATAAAAGTAGAACTGTGAAGACCTTTAGTAAGCACATCAGTTGTTTGTTCATCAATTGCAACATCCAAATCTCCTTGTTGTACTCTTTTGCGAACGAAGTGATAATTTGTGTCAAGATGTTTAATTCTGGAATGGAACACTGGATTTGCACTTAGTGCAATAGCGGACATATTGTCATAGAAAATCACAGGTGGATTGGGTAGAAAAACATCCAAGTCCTTCAAAACATTCCTTACCCAAGCAATATTAGAGGCAATGTGAGCAAGTGCTTTGTACTCAGCTTCAGTTGAGCTTCTAGAAACTGAGCTTTGCTTCTTAGACTGCCAAGAAATAGGATTATTACCAAGTAATACAACATATCCAGTCATTTACCTCCTTGTATTTAAGTCAACAACCCAATCAGAATCAGAGAATGCATTGAGACATGGTCCTGCAATAGCTAAGTAAACAACACCAGCTTGAATTGTACCCTGAAGATACCTTATAATTCGTTTTACAACTCCTAGATGTATATCAGTTGGCTCTGTCATGTATTGACGGACACAATTCACTGCAAAAGCAATATCTAGCCTAATAAAGGTTAAATATTGTAATGATCAAACTAAGCTTTTGTAAAAACTAGGATCTGCAAGTGATGTTCCTTCTGTCACTAACATCGAATTGTGTGGTTTGCAAGGAGTTGGAGCGAGCTTACATGAATCCATTCATGCCTTGTGAATGAGATCCTTGATATACTTGGCCTAATTTACAAATAAGTCCCCATTGACCTTATATTGAATTTGCAGCCCTAAGAAATATGTCAGCTTCCTGAGATCCTTCAAGTCAAATACCTTAAAGAGTTCATTCACTATTGATTAAATTATTACAGGATTAGATCCAATCAAAATAATGTTATCCACATAAAGTAAAAGAATGACAATATTTGAGTGATCTTTCTTTGTAAACAAGCTTGTATCAGATGGTAAGGCAGTGAATCCCATAGCAAGAAGATAACTTGTGAATTTTGAATTCCAAGCCCTTGGTGCTTGCTTGAGACCATATAAGGATTTCAAAAGTTTGCACACACGTGTTGGATGTTGTGGATCAACAAATCCTTGAGGTTGTTTCATATAAACCTCTTCCTGCAATTCTCCATGAAAAAATGCATTCTTGATGTCCAGTTGTTTTAAATTCCAATGATTCATTGCAGCTAATGCTAAGATAATTCTCATAGTTGTATGTCTCACCACAGGGCTGAAAGTTTCAAAATAAACTACTTCATGCTTCTGAGAAAACCCTTGAGCAACCAGCCTAGCTTTATATATAGACACACTGCCATTTGGATTCTTCTTCACTTTGTATACCCACTTACTGTCCACAATTGATCTATCTAGGGGTGATGGAACAAGACTCCATGTTCCCTAGGCCCAAAGAGAATCATACTCTTCTTGCATGGCTTGTTGCCACTAAGGTATACTAGATGTTTTTCTAAATGAAGAAGGTTCTTTGCAAGTATTTACTTCAGTAATAAAGGAGAAACCTCCAAAAAAATGGCTAATCTTCAGTGATTTGTAAGGACTGCAATTCTGGAAATGTTGCCAAATAAGCTACATACTTTTTCTTCATAATAGTTCCACTCTTTAATCTTGTTATCATAGGATGCTGAGAATTTACTCTTGACATTGAAGAATTGGTATTTATATTTGTGGAACCTGGAGGTATGGGAAGCATTACCTCAAGTTGTGACTCGTGATGGACAGGCAACAAGGGTGATATATCTGCTGTTATTGTAGAGTGATGGTGATGGGGATGAATATCTGACATAGCCCATGTCTCAGATAGTTTTGTAGTACCAATGCTGCTATGACTAGGCTGCAATGCATCTTGTGATATAGACATTACACCAAAATTTTGACTGTGAGTAGATTGTGATTGTTGTACCTGTGGAATTGGCATTTGAATTATCACAGGAACTGACTTATCTTGAATTGAAGTACGCTTATCATTTTGCTGTGGTTTTCCTACATACTTAATGGAAAGACATCTTCATCATGTATAATATGTCGTGACACTATTAATCTGCCAGTGTTTTGATCAAAGCAAACCCTTATAACCAATAGAGAATCCTATAAATACACATTGGCTTGATCTTGGTTGTAATTTGTTACTATTGAATGGTCTCAAGAAATGATACATTGCAGTTCCAAAAATTTTGAACTGTTGAACTTCAGGATTATGACCAAACACCAACTGATATGGACATTTCATCTGTAGCACTTTACATGGCATTCTATTAATTAACAACACAGCATATGCACATGCATAGTACCAGAATCTTGGAGAAAGATTAGCTTGAGACATCAGTGTGACTGCAGTTTCTACTACATGCCTATGTTTCCTCTCAGCAAGTCCATTTTGCTGAGGGGTGTGAGGACAAGAAACCATATGAGTGATGCCCTTGCTCGCCAAGAAATCCACAAATGATTTGCTCATGTATTCCCCTCCACCATCATATTGTAAACATTTTATATTAACATTGAATTGATTTAACACAAAAGCTTGAAATTTGACAAAAATGTAGAAAGCTTCTAATTTATTTGTCATGGAAAATATCCATATGAACCTTGAATATTCATCTACAAAGTTTATGTAATATCTATAACCTTGTACAAATTGACTTGGAGCTGGACCTCATATATCACTATGTATTTTCTCAAACAAATAGATAGCTCTGTGTTCTCTACTAAGAAATGGTTGCATACTCATTTTCCTCTGAATACAAGAAGAACATACAATATGAGTTGTATCTATACTAGCAACTATATTTGCAGATTTTAACATAGCTTGTAAAACTTCCTCTGAAAAGTGTCCAAAACGTTGATGCCAAACTGAAGCAGTGACCTTTTTGCCAATGAACGCAACACATCTACTCAACTTTGTAGCAAATGAATCTGAAAATGCATTAACTAGAATTCTGAACAGATCCCTACCATCACTCATTCCTTGATATAAAATCACCTGTGTGGCCTTATCCTGTATGAAAAACATCACATATGAACCAACAACCATTATTCTTACACAATTTCTTGATAGATAAAAGATTGACTGTTATCATTAGAACATGTAAATCATTTTTCAATATAAGAGAGTTATTGGATAAAGTAGTAATGGTTGAGGAACCAATCCTTTTGACTATCAAACATTCACCATTGCCAATGATAATCTTCTCATTTCCATTGTATGGTGCAGCTTGATTAATGTTGGTAGCATTGGCAGTCATGTGGTGTGTTGCACCAATGTCCAAAATCTAAGTTTCAGCATCATTGAATCTATTGTCATTGGGAACATTTGTATTTGGTGGCCTCATATTGGTTTGTGCAGACAAAGTAGTGAGGGAAGGTGGTGGTGGATTACCTTGGTATAAGAAATTGTTCTTGTGATAACATTCAAGGGCAATGTGACCCTTCTTTCCCCATATTTGACACACTACAAAACTTGAAGATTGTCCATTGTTATCAGCTCGGAAATAACAATTTGGTGCAGTGTCTTCTCCTTGAACATATTTGACACTCAGGTGAGATATCATTCTTATAGCTGGTATTGCCATTCCAAGATCCTCCTTTGCCATAATTGTTTCCAAAGAATTAAGAACTTTTTCCATTCCTAGAATATGAATTATTTCCATTGTTCCCAGCACCAAACATTGAGTTATTCCTAAATCTATTTGAGAAATTTCTAGAGAAAGACTTCGAGGTATTGTTTCTAGAGAAATTGCCTCCATTACTCCCATTAAATTTCTTGTTATTCCCCTGAGAAATTACCCCTTTGTTGGAATCTATTCCTATTACTCACATGTCCTGACCCCTTGAAAGTTTGAGCTAGTCACCCCCTTGTGAATTTAAACTTTTCCCCTGCTCATAATTCTAGTTTCCTACTTGAAATATGCTAGAACTTGCCCCATCGCCTTGTACATATGTTGCAGACATGGAATTTGAAAGAACCTGTATCTGAGCCTTAATACTAGCTTCTGCACCTAAAAATTGTGCTCGAAAATCTTTAAGTGACATTATGGAATCCCTTGCAAGAATCATTGTCTTGATTACTTCAAAATCAACAAGCAAACATCAATAATATAATCATTATCAGATATCTTCTCACCAGCAGAAATTAATTGATCTCGAATCCCCTTAAGTCTAAGCATGAATTTGTCCACAGAATCTCCTCATTTTTCTGTAGTGTGAGATTCCATTTTTAGTTGATTCACACGAACGATTGATACATAGGCGAACCTTTCTTGTAGACAGTTCCAAGCTTCTTGTGAAGTTTTGCACCCAATGACATGTTCGATGGCATCATTAGAAAGGGTGACAAGGAGCAGACTTAGCAATGCAAGATCCTTATTCACCCAATCTTTGTATGTTGTAGTAATTTCTATAGTAACTCCAGTGTCTGTATTGATTACATACTTTGGTGGACATGGTAAATCTCTAGTAAAGAAATCAAACAAATCATAACCTTAAAACAGACTGAAATTGAAAGCTCCATTTCACAAAATTATCATCTTGAAGCCTAACTGTAAGCATTCCCAACAACCCCTCAATCTTTACAGACTTAAACATGATGATATTTCAAGAAACTTGTAATGAAAGAATGTAGATTATATGATATACCTAACAATACACTTTGGCTATTGGCTTTACAAACATGCAATAATCAAGAAATGGCTATTGGTCTTGTTGAAATTCACTAGAAATGGCTATCGGCCTTATCAACAACACAATCTTGGCTATTGGCTTTATGAACAACACAATCTTTGGCTATCAGCCTTAATAATTCTCTACTGCAAAGACTCAATTTTGGCTATTGGCCTTGAATTTTCAAGTAAAAAAAAAACCATGCGAAACAATGTTCACTGACGCATTGAAACAAACAGAAAATGGGCATTACATAAACTAGAAAAAGAAGCTTGATGGTAGTCAAAATTGTTACCCAAATCGCAAAAAAACACCACAAATCCTCAACAATGTCAACGGAAGAACGACATCGAGAATCGTTCGGCTCTTGATACCATGATAACAGAAATGAAGAGTTGCAGAGAATGAACTAATGTTGTAGAGAAAGCAAGAAAGAAAAAGAATTCTTAGAGAGAGAAAGAAGAGAGAAAGAAGAGAATTATCAATTGTATTTTATGTATTGCATTTCCATCATTTGTTTGGAGCTATTACATTTGCTTATATAGCCACACACAACTTACACTCTAAGCAATTTGTTTTTAATAGAACCAACTACCTAACAACCTTTCTGTTAACCATTTTAACAACTACTAACAGTTTTCCTATCAGCCTACACCATTCATCGGCTCTAACATGAGGCACTAGACTCCTCTGTGCCACCTGACTACTTGCCTAATCATACTTAAGAACATTGGTCACGGAATAATGAGTGATTCACTTCCACAATAATTCTCTAGTAAGCATTAAAATTACACCAAACTCGTTTAGCAAATTAGGCTGTTTTCTTTTGAATTCTCTGGTAACCTGTTTAGCAACTTACAAGGATTGAGTAAATTGTAGCAAAAGTCCCTCAATTTTAACCAAATTGGAGCAATGGTCACTTAACTAAAAATTCATCACCATTGGTCCCTCAACTCATCAAAACATGCAACTATAGTCATTTTCGTCAACCCGTTAGAACTTCCGTCCAAATGAGTAATGTGCCATGCATGTGAGATTGAATCAATGGGCAACTATGGAAAATTAAATAATAAAAATTGTAACAATGGTCCTTTAACTTTAATCCAACTAAAGAAATGGTCCCTCAACCTTAACCCATTTGAAACAATGGTCCTTCTAACATAACTCATTTTGACAAAATTCTTATGGAATTGACGAAAATGACCATAACTACACGTTTTAATAAGTTAAGAGATCAATGGTAATGAATTTTTAGTTAAGGGACAATTGCTCCAATTTGGTTCAAAATTGAGGGATTATTGCTATAATCTACTCTACAAGTATTTTGATTAGACTTGACATTCGTGTCATGTTTTTCGTGTTTGTGTCGTTTTCGTGACATACATGATATCTTAATGGATCGTGTCATGTAATAAACGTTAAAGTAAACGGGTAATATAACCCAACCAGAAATCGATCCGTTAATATTATTAGGTAATTGACTCGATCGGTTTGTAACATCCCACATGGCCCAGGGGTGAGGATCCTGTAAGCCTTATATGTATGTTCCTATCTCTACCTAGCACGAGGCCTTTTGAGAGCTCACTGGCTTCGGGTTCCATCGGATCTCTGAAGTTAAGCGAGTTCACGCGAGAGCAATCCTAGGATGAGTGACCCATTAGGAAGTTTTCGTGTGAGTTCCCAGAAACAAAACCGTGAGGGCATGGCCAGGACCTAAAACGAACAATATCGTGCTACGGTAAAGTCGAGCCTAGGATGTGGTGGGGGCCCGGGCTGGGATGTGACAATTTAGTATCAGAGCTAATCCCTGACCGGAAGTGTGTCGAGAGGACGTTAGGCCCTTAAGGGGGGTGGATTGTAACATCCTATATCACCTAGGGGTGAGTATCTTGTAAGCCTTATATGTATATTCTCATCTCTACCTAGCACGAGGCCTGTTGGGAGCTCACTGGCTTCGGGTTCCATCAGAACTCTGAAGTTAAGTGAGTTCGCGCGAGAGCAATCCCAGGATGGGTGACCCACTGAGAAGTTTTCGTGTGAGTTCCCATAAATAAAATCGTGAGGGCGTGGTCGAGACCCAAAGCGGACAATATCGTGCTACGGTAGAGTCGAGTCTAGGATGTGGTGGGGGCTTGGGCCGGGATGTGACATGTTACCCGTTAAGAAAAATATATTTTAAATTAATAAATAATGAAAATGAAAACATAATTTGACCACTAAAAATTTGAAAACATAATACTAAATTTGTATGTATATCACATTATCACATAAATATTATTTTAAAACATAAAAACAACATTTGTCTTTTAAGTATTACATACCCAAAATAAGAGTCTAATGAAAAAACATTAGTACATTACTACACAATACCAAATGGTCAAGGATATGCAAAATGAAAGGAGTTGCATTTCAAAGTTGAGGAAACCTTGCACGTTTTTTACAATAAAACCCAAGGGAAATTACCAAGGGAAATTATATTGGTTTATTTTGAACTTCCTTAAAAATTCTATTCATGAAGGTTTGTATGGTTTTAAAAATTGAAACGATGATGTACTTATACTCAAAACGTAGAGCGTTTGCATATTTTTTTTCACATTTTTTGCACTTGTAAATTAATTATTATATTTTTTAATGTATTTGATATTTTTAAATTACTTGATATTTTTATTTTAGTGTGTTTTATAATTTTTTAATCTCACTATTTGCCTATCATATACTATAAAAATAAATAAAAATATTTTTTTTTAAATTTATATAGAATAATAATATAATAAATATTTTAATATACAATATATAGATATACTTTGTGACTATTATATTTTATAGTAAATTCTTTTTTAATAGTTTAAAAAAATTAAATTCATCAAAATAATTTTTTTCTTCGCAATCAAACATTCAAATTCTCTCTCTACATCCTCAAATTATCGATTTTGAGAATTGGGTTTTCTTAATCGAAGAAAAAAAGAATTGGGTTTTCAAGTTTTAGTTCATCTGATCAGAAATATACCTTTAAAGACATCATGAATTCCATGTTCAATTCGTTTGATGATTTGTGTGCTGAGTTCTTGGGCCAGAGGGTGAAGTCCTCCTTCCCCACACAGCAGCTGAAGAGTACGTTCCATCAAATAACACGATTAGTACAGCAAACCAAGAGGGAAATATGGAATCCTTGCCGGAGGCTAAGAAGCAGAGCCGGAGGTCGCCGCCGAGGTTCGCGGTGGAGCTGGATGGACTCAACTGCTTTGAGACACTCGTCTCTCTTTAACCATCTGCCGCTGGAAGTCTAATCCCAGATTATATTTAGATTGTTATACCAAGAAAAAGAAAAAGAAAAAATAGAGTATCGAAGTAAATGTTAATAAGATAAACTACAATTCTTTCAAAAAAAACCAGAAAAAAAAAAAAAACAAAAGAGTATCGATGTAAATGTTAATATTGTACTCCCGTGTCAAGCCTGTTAAGAACTAGTTATTAACGGATTTTTACTTTATGATACGATAATAATCCGATTAATTATCATGTAGGCTTGAAATTCGTTATTTTCATATTATTTACGTATCGTATTAATGAGTCGTAAGACAAATTCCGAGATCTAATTTTGATACCACCATCATTTGACTGGTAATAATGCTGTAACGATATCTAATGAATATGCGACTGCCGGATGATAATAATGTGTACTTGTAAATACCATAGCTCGTGCCGCATTTTCGGTTAGAAACAAAAACACTCATACAAACATACACAAGCAGTCATTCATTCATTCACAATGAAATATGTATCTAAGAAGGCGACATATATTAAAAACAAAAATAATAAAATTAAAAGAAAAAAAAAGTGAGTAATTGCAAGTATCAAGCAAGCAGAGGAGAAAGAGACGAAAAGATGGAGAGATTAACAGGGGATTTGAGAAGTGAACCATTCCATCACATGAATTGGAGCTTTCACCAACTCCAGGGCCAGCTCCACCATCACCGTCACGCACAAACAGCACGGGCATATGCACGTCAGCAACAATCTGCCACCCACCACCGCCACCACGACGGCACCACGACGGCACCACCCACAACACAAGCAATAAATGAGATCACAAATTCAACCAATCAGTCAATCACAATTTGAGATACCAAGATGAGATGAGGTGATCGATCAAATTGCAAATTGAAAATTTCAGAGAGAAATCAATGAATTGGAGAGAGGAAGAATAGAAGGAATCATATTTATACCCGACGATCCAGATGACGATGCCGACGATGGAGAGGAGGAGGGAGAGAAGAGCGAACGGAAGGCCCAGTAGAAAGCCCAAAGGCCTGCAATCACCCTCTGAAGAGCACATTTTCGATTTTCTCTGTCTCACTTCTTCCGTTTGATTTCTCCGATTTTGCTGCTTCTGCTTCCTTCCCTTCAACACGTGCTTCTGCTTCCTTCAACACGTGCTGCTTCTGCTTCCTTCCACAACTGCTTCTGCTTCACCCTCACGCACTTCAATGTGGCAGACAGAGAGAGAGAGAGAGGATAATGGACAAAGACTTCGATTCCGTAGTGGGCGACTCACGGCACGTGGCGTTTTACTGGGAATCCGAATTTTCCACTTTCCTTCGGCGTCTCTCTAATTATAATATTTACTTTTTACAATTTTTCCTTTTACCAAATTTTTAAACAAAATTTATAAATCAAATAATATGTTACTAATAGAAAATAAGCACGTTAATCAACATTTGATTAATAATCTAATCATCAACAACTACATCATTTGATTTATAAAATTTAATTTAGAAATTTAATCTCCTTAACATTATTTTTACAAATTAAGATTAACAAGAATTTTAAAATACTTTTGAAAGAATGAATTTGATGACATTTGTAAAATCCAACAAATTTTATATGGAATGCGGAGAATTCTTATAAATTTTGTTGGCTTAATAGGATTAATAGTATTTGTGATGATAAGGTAGTCAAAAAATTACCCTCATGGTAAAAAAATTAGAATGTAAGTTCCTCTGGTTAAGTTTATTGAGATTTAGACCCAAAATTTGAAAGTTTTGCTAACTCTCCGTTAATTATTAGCACAAAAGGCTCACATGTGAGACTAACTAAAAAGATAAAATTAGTCTCACATGTAAACTTTACGTGCGAATAATTAACTGAGAGTTTGTTTTAGCCTCATATGTGTGGGCTGTGGCTCTTAAATCCTAATTTTTTCAATACATAGATTATCTTCTGACTATCCTATTACTAAGGAGACTAATAATCCAATTAAGCCAATTTTGTTTGTAGATTTTGAAGGATTTTCAAACACTTTTTATTCTTAACTCAAGAAATCTAAACAGTTAATACTGTGCCACATTTATAATGTGTTTTCTTTTTCTCCAGCCCGTTCATCCCAACTATTCGCAACATTCTTCGTCGCTGTATACTTGGCACCGCCTTCGCTCGTCAATGTCATCTTTTGTCCACCTTCTACTCATCAGCTCCTCTACCAAATCTCATAGTTTTACGGTATGAAATAAAATAATAAACAATCAAATAACAAAATAAGAGAAGGAAAGCAAGAACAAAACTCATGATAGAAGGAAGAGAAACAATTAGTGGCAAAGTTAGAAATTCAAATTAAAATGGTCTTTTAAGTCATATGAAAGAAATTAGACAAAATATTACAATATGATTAACATGAGAAAAATTAAAAGTTCAAATTTTAATCAAACAAGAGTGGTGGAGCTTTAAATTTTGTATGAAAAATTCAATATTGAACTGATTAACAAAATTTGTTTACGAGTTTTGATAAAAAAATAAATAAATTAAAACATTTAGAAACAGACAAAAATTTAATGTCATGACTTAAAACTATTACCATGAGATTTTCTGCGTGATTATGGCCCAGAGACCGAAAAGTACCCAATTAAACAGAAAGCTATTGGTTCGATTTTGATTTTAGAGGTCTCGAAACCAGATAATACATAAATGAATACTATATATTTATTTTATTTTCAAAACTAATTTACAAATTTATTAAAAAATAAGAAAAACGAATTGAACTAAACCAAACGAAAAAGAAAAAAACCCGAAGAAAAACGAAATCAAATAGTAATTTCAATTTCATTTTTAATTAAAAAAAAACCAAACTAAATAAATTCGAAGCCATCCCCTAGTATAAACAAAATTTACCAAATAATAAAAAGAAAATTAATGAAAAGAGTTTGAAAACTTTGAGTTTGAATGATAATGACAAAATAAAAGGTAAAATAAATAGTACCATGTTTGACTTTTTAGTGTAAAAATGTGATTTTTTCGTTAAAGTAAACAGTACCGCGGGCTTTTCGTTAAAACTCTCAATAATAAAGCCTTTTGGAGGAGCATTATATTTGGGCTCAAATCTGGCTTCAAACAAAGAACTTGGGAGTTAAAACTCTCCTCAACCACAACCACCACCCAAGCAAACGGCAGCAATGAGCGCAACATCGGGGCATAGAATAAACCCGGCCGGAGACTTTCATCATCACCAAATCACATTTTACAATTTCCGAAACTGAATTACACGCGCCTTCTTGTCGCGTGTGGAATCACTTCCAAATATTCCACAAAGCGAGTCCCCCGCCACATAATCCCCCAATAAACTCAGGCTCAACGTGACGCTCACGCCCTACTCTCCCGCTCTCCCATTAGTCCGTTGTGTGTCACTCCCTCATATGTCGCGTGAGTCAATCCCCGCACCCGTGCTATGATACTTCCCGGTCACGACTCTTTTGGTGCTCCCACACGTTTCGTCACTCCACCGCTCCCTCACGAACCTCTCCCTCGCCGTACACCTGTAAGATAAGGATACAGAGAGAGAGTGAGAGACGGAAGAGAGAGAAACTGTGAGACTGTGAAACGTTTTAGAGAGAGAAAGCGAAGGAGCGAGATCTGATCGGAGAGAAAAGGCAAACGAAGCTGGAAGCTCTACCCATATGGTTGTCGATGTTGTAACTTGTAAGCCCCAACTCTCTCTCACTGGTTTGTTGCAAGGAAGCCCTAATTTGATTTTCTTGAATTATGTGTGAGATTTGGGAGGAAAATTGGGTTTTGGTGATCTCTGTTTTGTTTGGGCGGATAGGGGAAAGAAACCCTAGGATTTTGTGAATTGTTTGTGAGATTTGGGGGGAGAATTAGGGTTTTGTTAATATTCATTTGGGCGGATAGCGGTAAAAAACCCTAAGCATCTTGGATCTTTGTGAAAGGGAAAAACGGGAATTAGGGTTTTGGGAGGTACATGTATGGCTTCGGGGCCTACAGTAGGAGAAGGTGATGGAGCCAGAGAGAAACAGAGGTTCACGGAGAGCAAGGTCTATACTCGAAAAGCTTTCAAAGGCCTCAAGAAGAACAATATCGTCAACACCACCGCCAACACCGACGCAAACACAAATACCAACGCAACCGCCACAACCACTACCGCCTTAGCCGCCCCCTCCGCCCCCGCCCCCGCCTCTGCCTCTGCCGCTACCCCAACCACCACCAGCGGCAACATCAACGGGATCGACAACAGCATCAACGGGAAGGACAGCAGCATCAGTGAGAAGGACAACAGCATCAACGAGAACGAGAAGGGCAACAACATCGACGAGAACGAGAAGGACAGCAACCAGAACCAGAACGAGAAGGACAACAACAACGACGAAAACGAGAAGGACAGAAAGAGTCAGAACAAGGATAACGGGAATAATGAGAATTCCACTCGGCCTCCGGCTCATACTATTCTGTCTGAGGATGGAAATTCCGCTCAGCAGCTCATTTCACAGTCTGGTGCTGCTGCCTCTGATGACTCCTCGAGCCTGAACCGGCAAGAACCTGCGGCAACAGCAGCAGAGGCAGTGGTAGAGGCAACTATTGAGCGGGAAAGTCGGAATTCACCTGAAGAGAATGGGGTGGTCAAGCCGGCTTCGGATAGCCGAACTAAGATTAATTTGGCTTCAAGGTCGAAGCAGGAGAAGCGGGAGCTTCGAAGGAAGCTTGAGAGTGAGCTCGAGTTGGTGCGGAGTTTGGTGAAGAGAATTGAGGCTAAACAGGGGCAGATTGGTGGGTTTAGTCACTCCCATGTTTCAGTGAATGATGGGGCGAATAGTGCAGGTGGAGGGCTGAGGCTGGTTCACTCTGAGGTTGCTTCTGTAGGTGTTCCTCGAGAGGCTACCAGGCCTTTGCATCAACTGAGTATATCCGTGTTGGAGAATAGTCAGGGAATGAGTGATATTGTGGAGAAAGAGAAGAGAACCCCCAAGGCGAACCAGTTCTATCGTAATTCGGAGTTTTTGCTTGCCAAGGATAAGATTCCACCTGCTGAGAGTAACAAGAAGTCGAAATCGAATGGGAAGAGACATGGCGGAGGAGAATTGTGGCAAGGGTTTGGTGGGATGGGAAGCAAGTTTTTCAAGAGTTGCAGTTCTTTGCTTGAGAAATTGATGAAACACAAGCATGGTTGGGTGTTTAATGAACCTGTTGATGCTGCCAAGCTTGGTTTGCATGATTATCATATCATTATCAAGCATCCAATGGACTTGGGTACCATTAAGTCGAGGCTGAACAAGAATTGGTATAAGTCTCCGAAAGAATTTGCGGAGGATGTGAGACTTACATTTCAAAATGCCATGACCTATAACCCCCCAGGGCAGGATGTTCATGTAATGGCAGAGCAGTTATCCAGAATATTTGAGGACAGGTGGGCCATCATAGAGTCAGATTACAATCGTGAGCTGAGGTTTGGATATGATTATGGGGTTAATCTTCCAACACCTACACCAAGAAAGGCACCTCCACTGCTACCACCTCCTATTGATATGCGAAGGATTTTGGACAGGTCCGAGTCCATTTCTCGTCACTCTGATCCGAAGCCTAAATCCATGACTATTACTCCTAGGACCCCCGCTCCTAAGAAGCCTAAAGCTAAAGATCCACATAAAAGGGACATGACTTATGAAGAAAAGCAAAAGCTCAGCACACAACTCCAGAGTTTACCTTCAGAGAAGCTGGATGCCATTATACAGATTATAAAGAGGAGGAATTCGGCACTATTCCATCATGATGATGAAATTGAAGTGGACATAGATAGCGTTGATACCGAGACCCTGTGGGAGCTGGACAGGTTTGTAACCAATTACAAGAAGAGTTTGAGCAAACACAAGCGAAAAGCTGAAATGCAAGCCAGAGCAGAAGCTGAGCAGAATGTCCAGCAGCAGGTATGTCTTGACTCATGCTACATTCTAACCTCTGATTCTTGTGGTAACGGCCGTTGGTAAATGATTAATTTTTCCTTATATTTTACAGACCCAGGCCCCAGTTGCAGCAGAGGTTTTGAAACAACCCAAGACAGGTAAAATATTTCAGAATGCGATGTTTCATGGCATTGGAATCGGTGATTTCCTTGGAGAAACTGATAAATTGAAGCTCGTTCCTTTTTTGAGCAGATGAAAGAATTATTTCCTCTTCAACACCCATTCAAGGGGATAACCAGGGTGATAATAGGAGTAGGTCGAGTAGTTCAAGC